CAATGGATAATCTGCCTTCATCTCACCCTATTCACCCTATACTTATACTTAACTCACCCTATACTTAACTTCCTCCTCTGTCACACCAACCCTCTGATTGCCCTCCATCACTGCACCCATCAACCTTCTCTGGGGTCTGCACTTTTTCTCCTGCCTGGCAGCTCCTTCCTCAACATCATGTGTCTAATATATTCACTATCTACTCTTTTTACATATCCAACCCAAAGTCTCTAAACTGCTTGATTGGAGTTGTCTCTCTGATGTACTCATTTCTAATCCTGTCCATCCATATTGAAGCCAACCTGCTCCTGAGCCACAGAAGATAGTATCCTACACACTCTACCCACTCTAACTGGAAGGTCAGTGGCTGACTTCATAACTCCTCCATTCACATTGAAGAAACCTTGGGCAAGATACTGAACCTCAAGCTGCCCCAATTGAGTGTGAGCATGTGTGAATGTGTAGGGGTTGAAAAAATAAATAAACAATAATAACAACCACTGCACTGTAAGTGCAGTAAACTGAATGTAGTGCCATGTTTAGTGGAAGTGGCACTTACGTTTCTTTACACATCTCAGGCTGCTTATGATCTGTTTTTTAAACAGTTTATTAAAGGTAATAAACTATTAATGCTTTAATAATTATTTGGAATTAAGGGCATTATAGTCAGTCGTATTGCTATATTAGTTTGACACTTCTTGACTTGGTGGAAAATGTTACGTTTCCCTGGATAATGATCCAAATCTTGACAAGCCCTTTGTTTGCTTGTCTTTTCATTATGTACTGTGTAATGTGGAGATTTAACTCTTACCCAGGTTCTGAGGATCTTTCTCTCTCGCCTCCCACATTTTGCTGTCTGTGTAAGCCGCTGAAAGCAACCATCGTCGGGCTGTGAAGAGAAATGCACACATCAGTCAAATATTTGGGAAAATGAGTTGCTCATGGCTTTAAAACGATAGGAAAACTCAAATGCCGGTTAGTTTAGCTTCATGTTGTTAGCTAACGTTACCATGAACTGAGGGCATTTAGCTCCACCTCTATGAACATTCAAATATTGACCGTAAAAAACAAAAAATAGACGTTAAACATGAAACTAAAATTAAATCATACTCTATATTGAGTCTTAACCAAATGCATGATGTGTCTACCTGAAAGAGACGGAGATAAACTTTTAACTTTGACAGCAGCAGTCGCACATCGCTTTAACACGGAGGCTGCCATATTAGACGATACCATCTCGTGGCAGGCGCCGGGGGAGTTTGATGACCGGCAAAAGTGGATTATACCAAAAGTGGATTATACCAAAAGTGACAACAGGAAACCAGAAAACCAGAAAAGTTTTTGGTTTGGTTTTTGTTGTTGTTGTTTGTTTTGTTTTTGTTGCTACCTATAAAAACACATTAAAACAAAAAATTTAAAAAACAATAATAATAATAAAATAAACACAATTCGTACATTTTTATGACTCAATGAATTATTAATGAAGTTAAAATGAGATATTATTGATATTTAATTTAACTTAATCGAATAATTTTTACTGTTCTACCTTGCTGTGTGCACCAAGCAACAAAATACTTTACAGGAAATGTTTTGATTTCCTGAAATTTATCAGGAATGACTTGCAGATAATGTAGAGAATACACACTTCCAGCCTACTAACCACAAGTTTCACCACAAGGTTGCTAACTTCCACTTTGGTACCAGCTTCTACGTGTAGATGAAAAGCAATAAACATTTCCTGATCAAAATAACTTGAAAACGTTTTTATTTAACCAACAAATAGTTGATC